CCCCAAAACCCCAAAACCCCAAAACCCCAAAACCCCATTTGGTGTGAATTTAAAGAATCAGAGGTATTGATGAAATTAAGTTTAAATTCAAAATTCAATTTATGTGTGATAATTAATTCATAAATTTGTGATTACTCGATAATCACTTCTTCTTAAGTGGTTTCTACTTTTTCTTTTTAGACGGTGATGTCTTCATAAGCTGTTCGATTTCTTTAAGTCTAGCATAACTATTTTCCTCATTCATTTCGTCTTCATCCTAGTCTTCATCTTTTGAGTTAACATAATCTTGGTAAGCTTAAACCATATCAGGTTCGACTCTATCATTCTTAATGATGCTTCCACTTACATTTCCAGTAATACTTTCATTGCCAAGCATCATATTGTATCCTTTGGTATCACTAGGTCCCCTGCGCTTTTAAGGGAATATTGAGTTCAAAGTCTTTTAAAGAATGCTCTATTCAATTCCAAGTGAATCTCTCACATTGGAAACAGAGTTATTTTATTCATCGATAGTTGCTCTCTTTTTCTTTTTCTTTTTTACCAGTGATTGTTCTTCCTCTTTTTCCTCCTCGATTTGTTCGAGCTATTGGATTTCCTCTGCCAGTTCACCGATTCTTCTACTGTAGTCATTACTCTGCATAAAGCTAACCTTTTCATTATCATCCTATCTGTAACTATCATTATTAGGATTTAGTTCATCTTATATGAGGATATTATTCATGTGTTTATTTTCTTGCACTTCAAGCTTTGAGGTTGATTTGTAATTCTTACTAATAAGTTGCTTTGTAGATTCAGTAACTAGCATCTAGTCTCCCAAATGGTTATTAGGTATCGAAAGCATGCTATTATCATTGTTATGACCTCTTAGTTGCTTGGCTAATCGAGCATCTTTGTCGGCTGGATACTCCTAGAATGTTGCCTTGGACTCTTAATTGTCTAAGAGCGGTTTTATCATTTAGGGATGATCTTAGTATCTGCTTCCCATCATTGACTAGGCTAGATAAGCATCAATATTATTGTATTCACTAACAATGCTTGGGTCTTCCTTGATTTTTCTTGGTCTTCTGGATCTGTTTGATCGCTTAGTATTATTCAAATTATCTTTGGACTCAATCTCTTATTTAAGTTCTATCTATGCATGCAGAATTTTATTCTTTTCAAATATAGCCTTAATCAAGCTCAGATTATCAATTTCTCTCTCTTGATATTATTGCAATTGGCTCTTTAGAACATCTATCTATCGCTGCTATGTATCATTTTGCTGAGCCATGAGTAAGACATATTAGCCTGGCATTAGTGGCGGGTCATTTGGATCTACACTTTCTAGTTGATCCTTTAGTTACTCCACATCTAGTTCATGAATATTGCCATCAAGGCTCCAAACTTTATCTGGTGAATTAAATAAAGTTGTATTATTTATTGCTCCCATTCCTGGAGATAAGTATTGCATTTAGTTCTAGGTGTATGAACGACCATTATATTGAACATTCTTGCCAGTTTGATCTTTATGCTTTTTGGATTTTAAGACAGGAGCTTTGGCATGGCAGCATATACAGAATGCATAAAGCAATAAAGCTACTAATACTACTAGACTGAGTTCCATAATTAACAGAGTCTAGTTATTTTGGCACATGAAGCCACAATCTTCGTTACTTTTCAAATCTGGATTAGGATTTACTATAACTGCATAAATACCCAGTTAATTTATCTTAAACTTTAAGAATCCATCTTCATCAATCTCTATTTCTCTCTATTGACACTGCCATTGTGCTTTTCCTTAATCTAATTAGTCTAGTTTAGTCACCCATCCCAAGCAAGCATCTTCATATATATTTAAATCTTTGGGGAAAGAAGCGTTGTCAAGTTTGAAGTATAAGAATCCATAATCAATGTATGGTTTAATTGCTGAATTATATTCAATTTTGACTGCAGGAGATATCATAGTAAAAGCTCTCTTGAGTGTATTATTTACTGTTATTGGATATATTCTCTCAAGATACTCAATTCTCGTTTAAGGAATATAGTTTTGTATTTTCTCAAGGATACTATCCTGCACAGGGTACACTTGTATTCTTTGGTATGTCATCAACTAACTTGGAATATTCTCTAATCCTCGTAATTATAGACTATTTGAAACAATCTATAACTTCCCTATTACATCCCTTTGATCGGTGAATGCGAAGTCAATCGTTAAATCCTGTAAAGGATCAAGGGTAATATCTAGTTGCAATGAGCTATAAGTAGAAAAAGGTCTCTCACAAACTGTTAATTAGGAAACACACTCTAGATTTTTGCATCTAAATGGAAGGTGAAGAGGACACTTGCTTGAACCAGCGCATTAAGATTTATCTTTTACACATTCTCCAGTTGAGCAGTGATATGGTTCAGATAATGGGCATCCCATATATGGTAAGCAGTTTCTATCCCATTATTGAGTAGAAGTATTATAACTCATAGGTCTACAGACTCCATCCTCGCATCTTGTGAAATTCAAGCCTGTTCCAAAACTTTCTGAGCATTATGAATTATAATCAATTGTTAGTAAGTCTTAATCAGCCATTGAACCGTATATTTACTAGCATTATTATTGATCTCTGGCGCATAATCCATTTTTGCATCTGAAAGGTCTTTGATAATCGAAACAACCATGTATCACTGGACAGTTCTCAACTCTGTCTCTGCAAGAACCATCATAGCAATATACTTGGCAAGGATTGTTCAAATTGAGCAAATTATTTGAAGACTGACTATCTGCAGGAGTGATGCTTTGGGCTAACTGCTAAAGTAAAGTCAAATTCTATCCCCAACTAATTGGCATAATATAGGCGAGGTCTGGATTTGTAAAAGATTTGGATCTGATTTACTTGAAGCAATCATCATATTAATTCGCACATCTGCCGTCATGGCATCTAATTGGACTCTAAAGTGGGCATCTATCAGTCAATAGGTTACCATGGAAAGTTTGGTTGTATTGAGAATTTTATGACAGTGTTTCAATAAGCTTGCAATCAATTTCATTTGCAACACACTAGCCTGAAATGATGCATCTATAAGGTGTGCTAATGGGACAAGATTATTAGAGCAATGTTAAGGTTAGGACAAGACTCTTGCCAATACTTGTTGAAGTTAAAAAGTCGCATTCAGATTTTTATTTTACGCATCTCCTATAATTTGGACAGTAGTATATGCATGTTGGGCAAAGATTGATATCAGAAACGCAGCTACCATCAGCACATGAATAGGGAGTGTCTTGGGAGAAGCATTCATTGAAGATATTAGTTTGTAGTTAAAGTGTAGAAGATCTGTCGAAAGTAGTGCAAGTGTTTCCAAAAAGGGAGGGATATGATGTGTAGGGTAATTGGGCACATTATTTTCTGTTTATATTGGGGCATATAAAACTCTGGTTAGCTGGACAGCCATTCCAAACATCACAGATAGGTTAGGCTCCAAGCCTCACTGATTAACTATAAATAGCAGTTATTGTAGAAGTTGCCACACAAACACTTGATGAAGGACATTTTTCAGCATTTATGTCTGCACAAGAAACTTGAGTGCAGTTATAGGGACTGCTTACACAACTTGCCCCACATCTTATTGGATTAGTAACATCACATCCAGTGTCTGGATCTTTGCAATTCGTCAGTCTATCAACACAATATGGCATTTGAGTTCCTAGCTTACAAATAAATTGACCATTCTTTTGGCATTGAGATCTAGTTATTCCATAATATGCAATCAAAGGAGTTGACCTAATTTCGGGAATATAGTTAGGGTAGATGAACATTTGAGCCATTTGATTGTAAGGTGATTGGCAAAGACTAATTGAAGTAGTGCAGGAACCATCAAAAGGACATTTCAATGGTGTTCTTTAAGGGCACCCATTTTCATTCTTAATACAATCAATTTCTGATTGAGAGCACATTCCATTCTGGCACATGTATGGAAGGTGAGAAGGGCATGTTATATCTTAAAGAGGACAGTCACTAGGCTTTGCTCTGCAAGTTCCATCTCCACATCTGAAAAAGTTCAAATTCTGTGAGTTTAAGCTGCAGTCATACAGTGGTAGACACTCATCTTCATGACTGACACATTTTCCGTTTCCACATGGAACGAATAATGACTTTCCACTTTACCTTGCGATATCTTAACAGAATTGCAAATCTTGAACTGATGATTAATATAGAGGGCAATCAGATTCTGTCGTTACGCACAATCCAGAGCTACATTTAAATGGATATGCTTCAGGGCATTATGGAACATAGCATTTTTATGAGCTTTTTACTGAATTAGGGTAAATGTTAGCACAACCAGTATATTAGCTTGTATTGCATTAATCTGAACTTTAGACACAACTTCCATCGAATTCACAGGCATAGTTTAGATTGAAAGATTTTGAACAGTATGAAAGAGCAATTTGTTGATTTGCTTTATCATCAATCGATTAACTTGAGTAGCAAAATGTTATATTACTAACGCATGTTCCGGTATATTTGCATCTAATTTGCTTATAGAATGGACATGAATTGTTTTTCATTGGGCAAAGACTTAAATCTGTCACACATTACCCATTCCAGCATTTTTTAGTTGCTTTAGGAGATTGACATTGATCCCATTCAGGACAAGGTTCATCTGAGCACTATCCATTTTAGCAAAGGTATTAGTTATTAATTGAGCAGAGTTGATTTGTTTAAAGCACAACAAGGTCAGATGAGAAATCAGATCTTGACTTGTAGCATAGATTTGTATTCTGAGCCTTAACAAGATTCGTTCCCAGACAAGAGTCTGATATCTTGCATTCCATTATGTCACTTACACAGTTATTTCCATTTTAGCAGAGAATTTTAGTTTCATCAAAAAGACAATCTAGTGTGTCATCATCATGCTAATATTTCTGCAATTAGCACATAGCAGCATCTTAAACACATGAGCCATCTTCACATCTATATTGTGTGACTTCTGAGCAAGTTGATATAGTTCCACACAACTTATTTAATTTAACACAAGTACTCTCCCCAGAGCAATACTTGTACCCAGCAGGACATTTGATATTGATTGGACAGTTCTTAATTGATGATCTACAGGATCCATCCATACATTTTACAGGCCTTGAAAGTGGGCAGTAAGTTTAGGTAGCACAATCATGAAGTGAGGCCCTGCAAGATCCATCTGAGAAACAGTGGAAGGGGTTTGAGTTTTGATCTGGGCAGGTAGATACTAGTGATAATTGTTATAGCTATGTTACTTTAGGGCAACTCTGACTTACTGGATTAACACAAGACTCATCCCAGCATTTAATAAAACCAATAGGGCAAGTAGATCTGGCTGGGCATTTTGATAGAGATGTTGTACATGTTATTAAATCACTTGTGCAGAGTAACAAACCATCTTTACCGCACTTCATTAGATTTTTCTCAATTTCTTAGTCTATTATTAAGCATTATGATTTTGATCGAACACATTATCCATCTCTGCATTAAACTGGAAGTTCAGATGGACATGTTATTTATGAGGGGCAGTCATCTAATGAATTTCTGCATTCTCCAGTGACACATTTAAATTTGTTCTTTGCACATTTGTAATCATTTGTAATTATTGCTATTTCCATCATTGCAATACTTTTGTTTTAGGATGATACACAAAACTCACCAAAGCCTCCAGACTTGAAATAGGTGAAGGAGCAAGATATTGGTGTCATGCATACTTTTTACTTCATATTATCACTAAGGTGGCATCTTCCGTCGTAACATGTTCCTAGACTTACCTAGGTCTAAGTAATGTGATCATAGGAATTTTAAGAGCCTATGTATTAGTAGTTCAGAATTGAAGAGCATTAAGGATAACTACAAGCTTTTTAATCAATAGAGCAGATTTGAGCAGCTGGGCATATAACTGTAGATGCAGCATAAGTATAATTAATAGGAAGAGGGCAAAATAGAGTATCTGAGCATTCATAATAAGATGATCTGCACTCAAAATTAGGGCATTATATTAGTCCTTAAATAGTACAATCATTCTGCTTCATTGAAGCTATTGAGGTTTGCATCCCATTGAATTGACTAGTTCTACAACTGTTTGCACATTCACCATTTTCGCAAAGTTAAAGAGTACCTCCACAGGTTTTGCCAGCTGGAATAGGACATTCAAGTCTTGAACTTGCACAAACAGTAGGGAAACCTGGACACTTGTAGGACTTGTCTGAGGTACATTCGAGAGTTTAGATGCATTCAAATTGTGAGTTTTTGCAAGTTCCATCTGGACAGACAACTTAATTTGGATTAGTACAGGTTATCATTTACGGGCACTCCTCGTATGTTTTAGCGCAAGATCCATCTGCACATCTAATGAATTCAACCTAGGACCCATCAGGCAAAGTTCTGGAGCAATTTAAGAGTCTATTGCATTAATTAAACTTATCTAATCCCATTATGCAACTATAATCTGGGCATTAAGTATAGCCGAAAGGACAAACTCTAGGATTTGGACATTCAGTTGGATTTCTCTTGCATTTTCCATTATTCGGGCATTGGAAAGAAAATTCTGATCCAAACAGTTCTGTGCAGTTTCTATTAAACTTATAGAAGCAAAACTCTGCAGTATTGCTTGGCACACATTTATCTTCGTTGCTACATTTAGTCATACTTTTTGTTACTACAGTTTAATTATTTCCAATTTTGACAGAAGTATTGTACTTCAAATCTTCACAGCATTCATATTGATGTGTTACATATTTATTCTAGCTTTCACAATAAAGAGGCTGAGTGGTATTTATTGTAGGACATGTGCTTAAAGTTGAATTGAAGCACTGGTTAGTATTAGGGCACCAAAGGTAATCAAAAAGATTTCTGTCACTAATTCTACAACACTAAGTAGACATTGATGAAACACATTTTCCATCTCCACATAAAAATGGTGCTGAGCTAGGGCAAGTAGTTGTATTTATTCTGCTACATTCATAGTAATTATAGGCACAGATTGAGGGATTGTTAGGACACTTAAACATAAGTTAACCCGTGATAGGATCTTTGCAGATTTCTGATTGAACTTTATAAACCAGTGTCGGGTCATTGTATATTAGCAAAGAGTTGAAATATACTTTCAGATTGTATCTTCCTTCCATATAGAATTTGTTTGAAACTTTATATATTCCGTTTGATAGTGCTTCAATTGTTCCAAATGATTATAGATTATTTTGATCAATATTCTAGAAAAGTGCTTGGCTTTATACTCCTTTGATGCTCTCAGAGATGAGTTTTCCATTAATATCGTAACAGTTAAATACAAAGTTGAATAGCTGACCAAGAGCTAAAGTAGTTCCTGTTTTTGATAGTGCTTGAACTTTTATGCATTATGGTTCATAGACAAAGAATAGAATAGGACCATCTGAAACTTAAATGTTTTCTGCTCTCTATAAATTGAAGTAATATTCTGGTTTGAAAGAACCAGCTTTAAAGAATTGAATTGTTATGAGATAGCCTTTAAATCTATCGTCATATCTTGAAATGTACTTGTAATCAGTTCCTTCTATTAGTTTTTATCCATCAAAATTAATCCTAATCTTAACAAATGAAGTTCTCTCGCTAACATAATTTCCTTATGCATCCTTAAAGTAAATGAGATAATTGAACTCCTCATAGGCATTTATTTCTGCGATCATTTGATTGCTGTCTAAAGGTTGTTAGTACCAGCCAACAGTGGTTTATCTAAAATCAATTCCAGATACTAAGACTTAGAATGTAATATTGCTAGTTACTAAGTTCTTAAAGGTTGCTATTAAGGTGTAGTTTCCTTGTGTATTTAATTGACTGCTACTTTCAAGAACAGCATTGGAATAGAATGTGCAATAAGACGTTGGCTATCTTACTATATTTTTAACCAAATTAATGAATGGAATGTCAATCGAGACTCCACTTAATTACATTGTCAGGGGATCATACCTGTAAATTGTCACCACTAAATCATTGCTGACACTATAGTCAGACTCTAGCAAGCACCTTGAAGTTTGATTATCAACGACTAGAATTGAAGCTCTGAATTCATTTCCAATAATATAGTTATTATTTATCATGTTAGTTATAATTACTATCTTAATCTTAGTGAGATCTAAACTTTGTAATAATCTTGGATGATTTTGATAAAGATCACTCTGTCCAAGATTTTATTCAAAATAATCAGGTAGAAAGCCTAGTTTGGGATATTAGTACTCTTCTGAGTAGAAAGGGGAAATTTACTTAAGATTCGTCTCACTGCTTTATATCTCAAAATATATTACCTCTGGCTGAGTTAAAGGATAGAGAGCACCATTAAAGTCCTTATAATATATTCTAAATTCATTTCTTTGAGGACCTTCAAGATTGACTGATATTGAATAGTTAGATTTCCCTGCTAGCTCTCCATTAACCTGTTCTAAAGAACTCTTTCTATATATCTTTATATTTCTGGCTGATTATTGATCATTAAGGAAAGTCATGTTGTTATATCCAAGAGTTAAAGGGAATTAGATCTTGGTAGCAGGTCTAAATTTAGTCTAGTTCTTAGCTAAGTATGTTGAATTAATGATTTGATTCAAAAAATTTGGTGGAGTTGGTGGGAAGACCCAAACTGGTAAGTTTTTACTAATTGGGTTCTTAGAATACTTGTAAGTAGTTTTAATTGTCAATTTTAAGTTCAGTGGACTAGGATCTTAGAATAATGCATTTGAAACTAGGTATGCTCTGTAGAATCCTTAATTGGCAAAAGGTAATATTTTGATTGACACATTACTTACTGGCAAAATGACAGAAGTGTTTGTAATATTTTTTGGATTTGTACTATTAATGACAAAAGTTTGAGTTGTATTAGTGATTTCCATTTAAAAATTCTATACACTTTCAGTAAAGTAATATCTCTAGTCTGTATTCATTACTCTGAATGTATAAATCGCTTTTTTGTTTAATCTTAATTGTATTTGATTGTTGATCAAATCATCACTTAGAATTGGATTATTTGAATCAATTTCCTGGTTAGAAGTTTGGTTTCTTGACAGAGTCTTATCAATTTCAAAATCTGTATCTAGAACTATGAAAATCTGTCTCATTTTAATACTCTGACTTTTCCCAGGAGAATAAACTTCAATTTTATAAGAGTTTAAGCTGTTATAGAAATTGTTATTTTGAAGAGGGTAGTACGATGGCATATAATTTCTGTAAACATTTCGGCTTTCCTCTGTAGAGATTCCAATTAAAATCACGTTATATATGATTGTAGTATCGATTTACATCGCTCTTCCAAAATTAATAATTCTTGTTTCAAGAGCCAATTCAAGTTTATTGTAAAACTCATAAATATCAGGGTCTTCAAAAGCATTTCCAAATCTATCAGTGATCCTAGCAAGGAAATATAGGGGTTATGTCTTCAAGAATGTAAAATAATCAGTGCCGTTTTGAGAACTCAATCCAAATACTTTATTTCTTTAAATAGCAATGATGCTGATACCCCATTACATTTCAGGCTAAGAACTGTTACCAGCATCTTCATCGTTCTTAACATAAATCCATTTCTATTTGTCTGAGCCAAATCTATTCATCAAATTCTGGCCATAAAACTAAACTTATACTAAGTAGTTACCACTGATGTTAACTTGAATCGGTACTGTATACCAAGAATTAGCTTAAGAGTTGTTAAATTTAAACTATTGTAAATTGACACTTCTTTCAATCAATTGATCTTCTTTTAAGAATGAAATAACCAAATTCGTTAAAGCAGATGAGTTTGAGGTAATATTAATTCTTTGATAATTACTGTCAACTAAAGTTATTTTTACTTGTATTGATTAGCCAGCAGTAATCTACTGTGTAATAATTTCAAAGTATGATTTGCTAAAGTCAAGAATACCCTTGTCTAAATAGTTAGAGAATGGATTACTTAATGCTTTGAGATTACTATCGAAAATGAAAAAGTTTGTTAAATTATTTTCACCGTCAAAAGTGAACTGAATCTCTCCAAGTCTTGAAGAATAATTCATTTATGAGTTGAAGTTAGCCAATTAGAAATTTGGCTAGGATTAAGTGCTTGTTCTGTTTATGATCAACCTCTGGATAAAAGATGAATCATAATTGTGATCTAAGCTGTTATTGAAAGCATCTAAGGCTTAGAATTGAATGTTATTGTTTAGGTATCTTATTGAATTAAGAGGACCAGGAAATACATAGGTGGTAAATTGAACCATAGTAATTGAATAACTAGGATTTGTTATTTGGACAGTCACTGAGTATTATTAAGCAAATAGCTGATTTATAATGTCTGTTTAATTTACGAGATTGATTTTAAGTAATCTCACATAAATGTACTTGAATGGTCCAAGCATAATATCTCCATTAAAAGTGGTAGAGTTGAATTGTGCTGCAACAGTGAATTAGAATTATTATGCTTAACTCATAACTTGCAATACAGAATTATCATCAAATATTCCAAATTATATTGTCTAGAATTAGCCAGCTAACTACTAGAACTATTATTCCCTAAATCTCATTCTTAAAATATTTGCTGGTAGCACTGAGGGATAAGAAGCAGATGTTCGATTCGCTTTAAAGAAAGTATAGAATGATGCAGTAGATGGAACAGTAGCATTGGTAATTACTACCTAAATTCTATAGAATCCTTCTAAAGCTATTGTCATTTAGAGTATATTAGTAGGGAAAATAACTGCAGAATACACTTAGCATCCACCGCCTGTTCTGGCTTTGTGCAATTTTGTTACATTTAAAGCTGCATCGATGCTAATGAAAGAAATTCGAGCTGTGATATTGTCTATCTAGATAAAATCCTCATTCACATATATGTTATCAAATTCATCACTGATATAGAACTTGTAATAGAGCCCATGATTTCTGTTTTAGACATTAAATTTACTGAAAGCTAGGTATTGATTGCCATAGTAGTTCTAAGATAGATCTGTTAGTACAGTTTTGTTATGATTATATCTTCCACTAGGTACTACTCTTACATAACAGTTAGCACATTATGCAGTATAGCCATTTATCACTGTTCTCCATTTGTATATTCCTTTTTGAGTTAATTAGGCAGAGCATTTTATCTTGTTTTAAAAGATTTCAAAGCATGAAACTTAACTCCATTGTTCATTTCCAAATAAATTAATCTTTGCTAAGTAAACTTAAGAGAGGCTGTTAAAACTTTTAAGATCTTCTATAGTATTAGTGAATGTAATTTGGTTTCCAAATTCATCAAAAGGACTAATTAAAATTGTAGAATTTTCACCTGCTCTTATCCTCATGAAGGTTGATGTAGCAATTGAATATTTAGCATGGAGTGTACCTGGAACAATATTCATCTAAAATTGAGAATTAATTTGTGAGCCAACGAGTAAGGCTGTACCTGCAAGAGAAAATTTAATTTGGTAAATTATGTTATTATTTGGGACATCTTCTGTTATTTAAATGAAATCTCCTTTCATATTTACTATAGGATTTGTATAGTTGAATACTATTTTGCTATCAAATGGCCTAAATTGAGATAATAGATTCATAGAAGGATCAGTCGCAGTCATTTTGAAAGTGTATTGCTGTCCAGCTTAAATTATATTATTTTCTAATGATGTCAATAATGTTCCATTTTAAGCAACTACGAATTTTTGATAATTCATCCTACGCCTACACCTAATCTGAATCTTCCTATTAGTAAATTCCTTACCATCAATCATTACTCTGGCAATTGTTGAGAGCTTATCATTGTAAAAATCATCTTTTAAGAAAATAGTGAACATTATTATACCGTTCATACTTCCAGAAAATTCATTGAAAGAATATTTTTAGGCATCAAGACCATCTATTACTAGGCTGATTCTTTGCTGAAGTACTTCAAATGATTCATTTTTCCTGAAACCCATAATAGTTTTTAAATCTAATCTTCCAATAATTGGATATTGCTCTCCTCCAATACAAACTTCTTAAATTACACGTAAGTCATATGCAAGACTTGAAATTACATCTTGATTTAGAATTCTAAGATAAGAATATTTGCTCGAAATGTCATTTAAATCATCAGAGTTATATAATGTAACACTATTATCCACAAAAACTATGTTTATATATAGTTTATTCACTGACCTAGTCCCGTTAAGAGATTGCAATCTAAGTCTTGCTTAAAGTCCGTTGGTGAAATTACCAAAACAAGATTTATCTCTGAATTCTTTCTCACAGAACTACAAATAATGGAAGGATTTTTATGCTTGCCATAGTCCTCTATAAATCACATTTTCTGAGTTCAGTGGGACTATGTCAAATTAATAACTCAGTGAGAGTTAAGATTGTTAACTAAGAACAAGGTTATCATGGACATCCCTAAATACCATAATAAGTTTTGGATTTGTATCATTTTTATTAATGAACAGATTAAGCTTGTTTAAAGAATTGACAATGACATCTCTTTGATCTAAAAAGTCTATCTTTCTAATATCCTCTACAGCAGCATCAACTAATAAATGGCAATTTAAGCAAGGCATTTCAATTTATCCATCGATTGGAGAAAAGTAAAATACTTTGAAATCATAATGACATGATGTAGTCAAATTTTATCCAAAGGTAATTATATTCAGTCTTTGCAATAAGAAACTCATTACTTATGTTGTTGAGTTGCAAAGATTATCAGGGATGATATTCACAAGGTAATTATTTCTATTTTAGGTCAAGTTAATATTGTTGCCGTACATATCTCTGAGGTATATATCTAATGTGACATTTGCTCCAGCCAGAATATTTGTTTGTCTAATTTATGCAAAACTAGTCTGAATAGAGGGCTCCGTTTGGCTGGCTTAGAAAGTAATATTAATTGACATATTCTAAGGTATCTAGAGAAGTGTATAGTTTTGTAAAGTTGGAAGAAAAGAAATATTTCCAGCATAATTGGTTGTGAATTGGAAATTGTATAAGGTTGTGTTCGCAATGGGGTATAGATTTGAGATTATTGGATCTGATAGATTATGAACTAACTGAATTAAATCTCTGAATTTTTGAAGTGGAGGTCTATTTCTTTCAAATATTAGTAAAGAGTTATTATATCTGTCAACTAGAGTAAAGTTAATTGAGACGAACTATCCAGTATTGTATATTCTTTTAGCAAGCTAAGTTTAATTGACTAAAAGAACTGAGTAAAATGGTGCCGGGTTTACTTAGATGATTACATCTTTAGGAGGATTGCTCAGAGAGCCTCTTTGGTAGGTTGCTTGGAGTTATAGTGTGTAAATGCCTGCAACTGTATGAAAAAGAGTTACATAAAAGTGATTTTAAGCTGGCACTAATTTGGAAGTAGTCTCAATTTCAACTTGAATTTCTGAATTAGGAATTACAGTAAGATTAGTAATTGACGGAGTTCCACCAATAGCTGTAGCAACAAATGTAAATGGTTCTCCAGCTGTCACATTAATGAATCTTGGAGCAAGTAATTAGAATGCAGGTGGACTTGCTGTATTTTATTATCCTGCATCGCTATTGAATAGAGAAAAGAGCCATTAAATTGAAAACTTATTGTTAAACGATGTACCTGTTAGTACAACAAAATAATAACCTTCTATAAGTTATTCGATTTTATCCTATTCTGCTTAAGTTTCTGGAACAAGCATGAGATAATTTGTAAAATTAACTAGTTTTAGTGACAAGTTTGTGATGTTAGTACCTATATTGAAAGCATTATTGGAATAAACTGCTGTTGCAATATAACCTCCCCAAAGATTGTAACTCTAAAACTTGGGGTTTGTTACTATTTCACCATACAAACTAGTCCTTAGATAGAACTTAAATCTTAGATTTCCATCAAATCTAGGATCATAATACGTTGCATTATACTAGTTACTAAGCTGAGACCTCACATCAAATGGTGCTAATCTATACTCTCTTTCGTCCATTCCTTTGACTAAATACAAATCAGAATTTATTGGATCAAAATTATCGAAGATTGAGAAAACTCCGTCCTTCACATATATAAAAGTTTGGAAATCAGCTTGGAAAACTGTAATGGTGTAAAGACCATTAGACTTAAGTCTATCCTGAGATGTGAAGTTGAAATAAACTCCATCTGCACTTGGAAAAGTACCACTCATAATAAAATTTACCACTTAACCATTACTGCATGTCAATTATATTTAGGTATTGGCAAAGATTTAGTTGGCCTGACTTAGGTCTGTGAGAGATTGATTGTGAATATTTCTAGCATAAAATCTAAGGAAAATGTAGTTGTTGATGGATTATTAAGCTGGGTCTATTTTAGAATCTACCACTACGAATGAATAGAACGGGCTTAGTTGTAAGCTACTTGAAATGAATGTAAGATCTTAAATTATGGGAACAGGTAAATTTATTTATAATCTATACCTTCCTACTGGAATATTGTCAATATGAAGTCTATAAAGTCCTTGTGAAACATTTTATTGAGGAAGAATGTTATATCTAACAATTTTGTTTGTCAAAATGCTGGTTAAGTTATAGGTAATAAGTCCAAGCTAAGTTTACTCTCTATTAAGCAGTATTGTGGTGTAATTGTTTCCTTAATCATCATTCAGCCTGAAATTTATATTAATTCCTCCACTCCCTAGTGTGTATGTTTAAGTGGTAGGGACTATTGTTGCTAAGTTAGAGTTGGTTGGCTCATTCGGTACAACAGTAAATGCCATTGGAGTGGTAACATTTACACCATTTATCATGATAGTTATTATATAATACTTAGGAGCAGATTTGCAGTAGTAGAATCCAAAATATTCACCCTCATATAAACTCTGATTCAACTTGACAAAGCAATCTGAGCTTAGAACACTTTTCATGTTGTTATCTTGTATTCTGACATCAATGAAAGTATTATTATTAGTTGGGAGCCAAGAATTTAAATAAAGATTATTAGGATTCTTGAGAGTTAAGTGGAATCTGGCAATTTTACCAGCTGCAATTACTCTATCCCAATATACGGTTGTTAAATTCTAATCAACTCTGTTTACATCTCCATCTCCAATTATTTCCATGGGAGATACCTTATCCTCAGCTACAAAGTAAATCTTCTTGGTTTCTGATTGTATTGTAAGGCATTACTGATTACCAGGACTTTATATATTTAGGAAATATAAATTTGTTCTTGCTCTTAATGATTGAACGAAAAGATTTTCTGTGTCATTCAAGAACATATAAACTTTACCAGGTACTTGTATCTTCTAGAAGTTGAATTATTTGCTCTTTCCATATACAAATTGGGCATTAAATGAGTTTAAAGTAGAGTTATCAAGCTCAGATGGAACTTGATTGTCAAATCTATCAAAGAAAGTAATATCTAAAACAAGATTTGAAGACTATTTAAGCATAAGATTCTGAGATAGGTCAGAATCAAATTAGCTAGGGAAAGAAGGGATAGTCATTTTGTAATATAGGTAGGTTGAGAGTGGCTTGATTACTTTTTGGCATCTAAAACACTGGAGATCAAAATTAACTCTTGTGCAAGTGATTGAGATTTTGAAATCCGCCACTCCAGCTTATGTAATTGTAGTCCTTAAATAAGGATATACATCATAGAATAGGAAAGAGTACTTTTAGCCGTTTAAGAAATAGTAACTATTAGTGAATGTGCAGCCTTCTTGAGTTTGAGGTATGTATGTATTGTTAAGATTATTCCTTAGGTCAATATAAATCTCAATAGTTGAACCAGCATCTACTTCGAAATCACCATTTACAATAGCTTGGGAATATTCACTAGATAATATTTCATTCACCTGATCAGCCTAGCCAATATCTACTTTGAAGGATCTTCCAGATGGTAGAAATGGGGAATTAATAAAATAAGTTCCATTAACATTAGGCAAGAATTAACATGTAAACTGTGATGCCTTAGTATCAACAGAATCTGTACTAGTACCAGATGAAGCAGAATTTGAGGATGATGACACTCTGTAGCATGTTAATGGTACTTGATTATTGTAGATTGTGTTGTTGAGTCTGATGTAATCCGATGTTACCGTTAAGCTAAGCTGACTGAAATCAACTGCTACCGGGTTTAGCTATCCATCATAGTAAAAAACATCGAATTAGTAATTGTTATTAGCATATCCTTTAGTTGTCAGAGTGCTTGTAATAAGATCTGAGTCCTTAATAACAAGGAATGTGTAATTAGAATTGGTCTTTTTGAAATAGTCGATTGAGGTAATATTCATGATCAAGTCACTGTAATAATAAAAGCCCATTCTGACATTAGTGGTGACTCCTGTAGGAAGTGATAGCTAAAATTTTACATCAGGTGATATTGTTCTAGAACTTGGAGAGTAAAATTGTGGTTTGTTAATATTTTAAATTGATGATCCAATAACCATTGTATCTCTATTGTTGAAAAATGGTATAATATGCGGCTCTGTTTCTTAGGCAGTTAGCCAATCTTATTCACTAATGGTAGGATAAACAACTAAAGTTGTCTTCTGCATGCAAAGATCATAAAAACTTGATCTAATTTCAAGATTTGACTAGTTACCTCTAAGTCCTACCGAGTCTCCAATGTAGGATACCTAGCCATCCACAAATTTAGGTTTTCCTTTAAAGAGTCTAAAATTGAGGATGTCTAATGATGCTGTTGGGGCATTCTTGTTTAAATTTTAGGCTGATGTGAACCCAAAGAAATAAGTTCTGCTGGGATCAAGACCTAGTTCGTCAAATGTAGTCTTTACTTCAAGTTGTCTCATTCCATTCATGTCAAGTACAATCATTATTTCTTGATTTAGCTGATTGGAGATGAGACCAAGTTGCACATTAATAGATTGACTAAAACCACTTAAGTTGAAACTCTATTTGAAATAAAAATAATGTTAAATTTACCGCGAAATTAACGGGTTAAGAATTGGATTTGAATGTGCTACTGAGTCTTGACGACAATAAATCTACGTTCTTATTTCTAATCTGCATAGATATTCTCAGCTAGTTTGGATCTGCTGGATTTTTGTGGATATTAGCTTGAGTATCAAATTCAATTGCGAAAATGCCAGATAGTCCTTCATATCCTAATCCCTAACCAAGATTATTCTTATATTCTCCCAGGGAATTTGTAGATTCCTGTTAAAATACTATGGCGAAACCTCCTTAAGGTGAGCAATTGATGAGTGTGTTATATTGTAAAGAACATTGAGCTTTACTCCAATTCAAGGTGAAATTTACTTTAGTTAAATCATAGAGAGATATTGGATAGTTGAGCCTAATAAATATATCAGAATATAATCGACAATAAATTACCATGCAGCAGATCCAACCATCCTATCACCGTCATTAAGGATTGAATTATTCATCAAACCTGTGATATTTACTTAGTATTAAGGGAACATCTCATTTCCACCAGTCCTTGCTGTTTTTACTCCAGGGTAGAGCCGAGTGTCACTACTAACATTGCTCCAAAGCTATTTCATCAATTATAGCTCTAAATTTAAATTTAGGATGTGAAATAGAGATGAATCCTCTTTAACTTACCTATCATTTCATCTTCTAACATATTTAATAGCTCTTAATTGCATGGAACCATTGAACGGTCCAAATTTACGAAAACTCTAGAGCGTTATTGTGAGGTTTAAGAAATCATAATGGACATTGCTATCAACAGAAAAGCTAATAGATTGACTTGTTTATGTCTTTTAGTTTTGTGATTTGCTTCTTAAATCATCTTAATTTGATATTTTAATAATTATACTAGAATAGTTATTTATATTAGTAGATATAAAATTTGTTTGCTATTGAATTAGAATTCTGATTGATGGGGTTTTGGGGTTTTGGGGTTTTGGGGTTTTGGGG